GTACCTGTTGTCTGCAGTCATCTTTCTTCCAGGCTTTTGCTTGTATAATTTTTTCAAGTCCTCCCGCTCTTTCAGTCACTTCTGCACCGTTCGTTTCACTCAAGATTTTTCTCTCCTATTTATACTTCTCACATCCTGCGCTTCGCCCATATCTCTATATATCTAGTCAAATATCGTCACCAAAAAAATTAGAGTTTCCGATCCCGGCCTCGCATATTGCCTTTTGCATAGACGGGACCTCCTTAGAACCGGGCCACCCTTCGCCCTAAGGTCCCTACCTCTCCGGTAGGTATCATAGATGAACTTATTGATAGGGAGAGGGCTAGATCAATCGCCCCCTTCCATAACCGAAGTGGATGAATGGGTGTTCAATACGGAGACCCCTACAGAGCCCCGGACCACCCGGGCTCATTCGAAAAGCGAGTATGTCCGACTATCGCTACCGATATGCAGAGGTTTTGCTCTCGCTTCGCCATTTTGGGCCCTGTTCTGGGAGTACAGCGCAGGCGGCCTGAGGATTAGAGGGATCCAGCAAAATACCATACCCTTGCCCACTTCGCCAAGAGTTCGCGAGTTGCCGGAATGTGGGGAACGAGGGAAAGAGCTGAAAAGAAGAGCTCCAGCGGGAAAGCGCAGGGATATACGAGTACAAGCTTGTAAATAAATAAATGGTGGGTTTGAAGAACCCAGTGCCAATTAGGCAAAGCGGACCGGACCAGGAAGACGCGTCTCGGGGTTGTTGGAAAAAGGTATAGCCGACCGCTTGCCAAGCACAGGGCCATAGTCCACCAGGGAGGGGTCTGTGAGCCTCGGGTGCATATACACCCTCCATCACCCCCGAACATGGAAGCACCAAGCTCTCCACAGCTCACGTACTTCATTCTCGTGTTCTTTATTGTCCCACCCTCCGCAACTCACCAGAAATTGACTGAACGTTATCAAGGACTCATAGAGGGGGGGTCAGGAACAGTGCCGAGCACAAAGCTACCTCTTCCAGAAAGCGTTCCCGGAGAAAATTCCAGAAGATTTGTCATGCCCGGGGGACTCGATGTCGTCATCGCACCCACCAGGGCCCCCGTGCTCATCTGAAACCAACACAGATTATGGGCGGCCCGAGCCGGCGCTAGGGGCTCAGACCACGTGCAGTGTCACTCGCCTGATCGGAGCGAGATTTGCGATGTCGGTAACAGCACTCAAGACCAAACGCGGCTGGAATGCTTGTGTCTCGGGCTGTCGCTGCCGCTCCCGATCCCCGCTTTCAGTGACAGGGGTTGCTTAAATTCGAGAAAAAACCACCGTAGCCAATGTTCTCCCGCCAGTTTAAACGATTCCGGAACGAACCCTGGGTTACAAAATCTTGCAAAAAATCTTTTTGACCTAGGGCATGTTTCGGAACAATAGATCCCGCCAAGAGCCAACAGGTTCTAGCAATTCGCGATGCGGGTGATATGCTATCTGGGGAGGTGGGGAAAATGGGCAGGGGGGGTTGTAGAGAAACTAAATAAGCGAATGAACTGAGAGGATTTCCAAAAATAACATTGAAATGGCTGTAAATGTGATGGGGCTTTTGCGCCACACCCGACCGTCCCAATGCGATAGAAATAGCCACCACAAATGCCAAGCCCATGTGTGTAAACAGAAGATGAAAAATCTTTGCTCAGCTACTAAAGAGAGTCTATATGGATACCGGTATTCGGACCGGGATATGATGGGTATGTGCTTCTCTCGCGTAGTCTGGTTTCCTTCGCCTTAGGAGACTAGCTAGAGTTTTAAGGGCAAGACCACCGGGGGAGGAAAGAAAGGTCCGGAACTGCCACCAGGGGGTGCATTTAAATTGTGGCGGGGAGGGGGAGCAGTGGGATTAGAAGGGGAAATGAATGGCGGCGACAACCACACTTCTTAATGGGCTATTACGGTCGCTTCGGAAATGGCGCACAGGCCGCCCGTGCTCGGAGGAGGGAAGGGGATGCCTCCCCTTTCTTGTGACCGCTAGGACGTGACACAGTTCATTAGCCTTCAAGCTCCGCTCCGAGTGAGAGATACACATCTATCAGTGGACAACTTGAGGAGCTGTGGCTTCCCTCCCCCCGTCGCTCCTAGGTACATTCCTGAAAATTTCTCAGGAACTCTCCTCAGGATGACTACCTCCAGAACACTGTCCATCGTATCAGGGTTCGTGCCCCAGTCCAGCCTGGTATTAAGGTAACTAATAATACCATCTTTGTTAGGACTTATGGACACCCCCGTAAATCCTGTACCAAGACGCCTTCCGATCTCTGGCTGAACATGGGGTCTCCTAGTAACAAATACCCAGGTGTCGGACCACATCTGGAGGATATTGTTCAGAAAATCTAGAGGCTTGGCGCGACATTCTGGCTCGCATTCATGGAGAGCATCGATGCATATGAATCGACTCTTTAAGGAAGAGGTAGTCTGTAGCATCTTCACAACATCGGAGAGCCGGTCCCCATCCATCAATGATCTTTTTCTGTTCCTCATAGGCTTGCGCTATTTGCCCCGGTACCTTTTCCAATCCGCTCACAACTTGTTTCAGCAGGGCACCCAGTATACTTATAGATATCTAGTCCTTTCGAGCGGCGGAGTCAAAGTAAAAAGAAGCCACTGCGACATCTTGTTCTCTCGCGCGATCACACAAGTGGCCGGTCACCAATGAGCTAACATCGCAGCTTGCCAGTACTTTCCCTTTTCACTCCTATCGTTGAGGTTCATCCTTGTTACCTTATATAGGTCTTTCCGACTCCCGGATCCTCATAGCAAAACAAAACCTGGGTCTCGGGTTTACTATCCTTGTAGCTATCTCAGCTTTTGAACTCATCGGTTCGTACAAGCCATTGCCCTATATTTTCAACCCGGTGGTCTCGTATGTCCTGATGCCGTACTTAGGATCAAGCAGGGATAATCAGGATAGGACACTAGGTCTGTCATCGGAAAAAGTAAAGTATGGCAACAGTCGTGTTAAGGCAGTTGATATTATTGCGGAACGATTGAGACGTTCTCTATTTTTTTTTTGCTAATTAGAATATTGTCGATGATAGACGATTGGGTCAGTCTACTCCGGCAATCATCGGGGCTGAAGGAAAGTGGGGTCCATTGTGGAACCCCAGGGTTACCTCAGGATCGCCCAATCAACGTCCCCCAAACTTGTTGCAACACCCCGACTTTTTCCACCGCTTTGGTCGCAGGAAATCCCACAGCTCGCTAAGCATTATCCTATAGCGCAGCACATATCATGCAGTGCTGTGAGTGAACATCCTCCATCGCCTAGGGTAGAATCGCATGGTAAATAGTGCCGGTGAACGAATCGGTCGAAATACTTACACACCACCTAACTTGAAACATCGCAGCAAAACCTCCGGAAATTTGGAGAATGCAGGAAAGCTCTCGCGGTAACCAGGTCCCGGGTTCCGTCGAAGCGGGGACCAATCAATTCTACCCATATTTGATATTCATCGAGACCCCTAAGTACTATACAGGACTTGTGCGGTGTCACGTTAGGTTAATACGGCCTCGTGCATAGCCAAGCTGCTCCTCCAACAGCTTCCGCATCAGTATTGATGCAGGAATATGCGCGGTGGTGGCAGGCGCATGCTAGATACATTCCGCCACACCAGACTTACCGCACATTGTTATGTCAGCTAGGATTAGGTAATCGAATGCCGCAGGCAGACAAAACACCCCTTGATCGGGCCTTTAAGCCCCCAAAATGGGGAGAAAGCAATAGTTTTTCAATTGCTCCTAGCTCCTCCAAAAGCGGCTCTCTCTTTTCCAAAATTCCGAGTTTGACGTCATTTCGCCCGAACATCTCGGGATCGGTCCGTAGCACGCCCATTACTAGCAGAGGTCATAATTTAAATTATAGGCTTGAAGGATTTTACCATCCTTTAAAGGTCGACCGCTTTCGCCAATCCAGTCAGGGTAACCTCCCAGCTCATGAATTGGGGACCAAGTTGCCCATCGATCCCGCAGCGATCAGGCGCTGTTGTCGTGATCACAATATGTCACTCGTGATGAGGGGTTTTACCATACGATGTGCTTGAAATTGGGTTGGTGGCTAGAGCGGGATGTTTCTACAAGGGCCGATTTGCGACGCTAGGACGTGTGAATAAGTGGTTCCTTTCTATTTTTTTTTCTTTTCTTTGCTTGTTCGTTAACTCTGGGCTTCTGATGGAATTATGTGTGATTCCAATTGCATCCATGTCCCGCCCGGGATCGGCTATCCAAACTTGGGCATTCTTCAGAAAGGGGAATGGGATCTGGGAGGGGACCGGGGAGACTAGCATTTTGTCCTCGCTGGGAAACAAATACCTACCTCCCCCCTTTAAATTATAGGAGTCGCTGTACTTTAGGAGGAGTTGTGGATCTGGTGTTCTTTTGGCGGTAAGTGAGAGTGGGATATTATGTTTGCGTGAGATGTGAGTGATAATATGAAGCGCCCTCGATAGCAAAGGCCTGAAGAAGGATCAACGTCACAGGGCATCCGTCTGGCGGGGTGGTCACAATGAACGGTATATTCAACACTAGGAGGTTTCGTACAGCGGATGCAACTTCCAGTTCATCAGACGACATGGAACTTTTATTGGTATGAACAATAATGATTGGGAAAAGGAATCAAAGAATAATAAAGAGCAATAGGATCGCTTATAGTAACGAATGACTTCGACAAAATAATAGAGAACGAAGTGGAGAGACTGTGAGATGCGATGATAAACCGGTAACAAATAAACAGAAAACCGTTCGCTTCATACCAACTCTCATACCAACCCTGCGTATCTTATGCGACAAGATTGAATACCGATCTACTTACATTCAAACACCAACACGGATGATAGCCAAATATCATACCCTCGGCGATAGATTGGACCCGAGGCAAGCTGCAGAACTCTACCCTCGGCCATCGTGCTTATACCTCGGAAGCGCCCCCACCATGCAAGCAGAAGAATTTCGCCAATCGTCAGCGTCATAAAAATGTCCCCCCTGCATCACAACCCAATCCTGATTTGATCCTTTCCAGAGGCCGAAGCGGTTGACCACTGGAACCCCCGATGGTTTCTTTGGTTGGGAGATTGGAATGAAATCCCGAGAGGAGAAGGATTTGCTGAGGTCGATGAGAACAGTTCGGGGATCTCGATCTGTGTGAGCGACTGTGAAGTCAGAACTGGGGAAAAATGAAACTCACTGAGTTCAAGAACTTCAATGTTTTCGCCGTTCCAATTGTGCCTAAATTTTGCGAGGCCTCCATCAAAGATGAGCAGGTCTTTTCCCTGAGAATTGACAACAATGCCTTCACATTTCAAATGAGAAGCGGTCCCTCAGTGATCAGAATAAGGAGTCAAACTTTCATGTGCCAGGAGGCGGCATCGGGAATCCGGCTTCCAATCCCCCGTTTGTTTATTGATGTCAGGTTCGACCGTCTTCGCGCCCAACCTCTGAATGGTCTTATTTGTCTGCGCCAGCGCCAGTGAGGAGACCCAAAAAGCCGCCCATAGGGCACGAATAAAAATCATTGCTTGTGATCGCAGCGCCGATATCTGGTTCCCAAGAATGGCGCCCAGATTTTTCGTGGACAATGGGCGCAGATATATCGGGGCGAAAGTCTCCCAAGATGAGAGCAGAAGCCTCAACTCCTCACATTCAAAACCAATCTCCCGTTTCGGCACCTCTGGGTGGCGAAAAAGCAAATTAAAAGGGTGTTGCCGGACCCATCACGTGGGTGTGGAGTGGGGGGCAGTTTTTGGCTCCAGCCTGACAACCACAACTTCAGCCCCAGAGTCTCGTAGACTACTGGTCTCTGGTCACCAACGCCCAGTGAGGGGAAAGCCTCAAGTGGCGTTTTTCTTGCCGATTCTTCCCAATCATACCAGTTATTGTCCTAATTTCTTGGATTCTGGCGTCGCAAAGTTGACGCCCGCTGACCCGAGTGACTACTGATGACGATGTTCGACAACCATTCAGCCGTCGATGGCGGGGTAGGGTTTCACAATGAATTTCTCGCCAAGGCTGAGAATATGATATACCGGTAGTAGGATAATATCGCAAAAACACCCATCACGCCTTATGCGAACCGTACCAAGCCGGTCGGAGATTGGGAACTGGACCTTACACCCAACACCCCCCACCCCACACTTCGAGTTCAGCCACGCCGCGAAGAACCCTCTGTTGTACGAATACGGTGTGATACTCTTGATTCTGAGGCCCTGACCTCAACTCTGCATTCCCACACCGCATACCCAGAGAGAGTGCAGAGTGGGTGTCCGGGCGATAAAACGAGCATAACCATGGCCCAAAGTGCGTCTACGGCTAATTAAGACCAAGTCCCGAAATAAAGTTCTCCGTAGTTTGTGCATTATGCGGATGCTATTGTTAACGACAATCCATAACCGAGCAATATAGTCTCAGCAAGGCATCCGAATGGTGATGAAATCACACGCCGTGAATAAGATACGAGGTGTAAATTTAATGAAACGGAAAACAGATGCAAGGGTCATGCACTCGTCTTTTTCCGACGTCTGTGAATAAAACCACCATCCCATACGGTACCACAGAAATCTTGAGGCTCAAACTGATCTTTTCCCCATACGTAATGGCAGCCGCGCCCGCGAATGTTAGAGGATCGTCAGGAGGGGTGTGAGGAAGGCGGCAATTCTCTCGAGTTGGTGAATGGAGGTGCTTTACCGTAGCGCGATATCTGCGGAGGTCCAAATCCGGATAGCAACCACCGTGCTGTTGCAATTTAGACTATCCCCGTCCACCACTCGTCACAGAGAGACTTCAGCCTGACCTAATTAGGGAGCTGTAAAATATACACACCGTTACCCGGGTTCCCACGACCGACCCCCGGTCCACAGGGTTTACCAAGTCGCCCAACACCAAGAAAAACCGAAAGCTAAATTGTTATTGTACGAGTACAAACTAGAAATTTGTCGAAGCAACAGCTGCCACCGGCCCCTAAGAGCTTGTGAGGAGCGATACATCACATGTTGACAGAGGTACTAGTCTAAAGGCAATTAATCAATATATTCACTATTTAGCGCTTCAGACAGTTATAGAAACGCTCCACACTCCAGGACGTCACCACAACCTTAAACTCAGAGGTCGACAGGCTCGGCGAGTGGGCCCGCCGGGTTCGAACTACCGGTATCTGGGAATGGTCGATTCTCGTCAGGTTCAATTACCGGCTCCTGTTTTAGGACCACCGTAGGGGGGCTCCGCATCGCCCACGGCCACACCCACGGCCACTGAAGTTTCGGAAATGGCTTGCAGATGAAGTAATATATGCAGAATGCCAGAAGTCTCAAGGCAATGACACCAGAGACCACTATTCCAGCTATTTCTCCCCTTGACAATATTGGTGGGGTCGAGCCCCCAATACTGATATGAAATGCATCACGAAGCCTATCGTCCGCCCAACCGCTGTGTGGATCCACACGTTTAAGACGGAATTCTGCTTCCTTTCGCACAAGCTCTGGCGTTTTGTAAACTGTTCCAGGGATGTAGTGTGAACTCCACTGACCATGATGTTATTATGATTGTTTCTAATTGAATTCATGGTGGAATCTACTAACAGTCATTTGGTTCATATCAAGCACTTTAATGATTTCGGAATCGCAGGGTGCGTCTTTCTCGACTTTCGCAGATGATGGATAACCACCAATTATCAATAACTGGCTGCCAACCGCATTGCAACTGTGAGAGCGCATTCTGACCAAAGTGTCAGGAATCTCAACCCGGGCCCATCTGTAGTGTCGTTAGAAATCAGCTTTAAAACAACGCTCAACCGGGGAAAGGAAGCGAACATAAAACTTGGCATAGTCAAAACCCAGGCGTCCGGAGCAGCTTCCCCAAGCGGGTTCATTAGCATCCCACCATGGACCCAAGGTCTGGGTGATTTTCAAAGGTTAGATTAGGTGATAGCCCTGAGGATTAGGGGCAGGAAGCATACTCCCAGGTTTTGGTCTCATCGCTGTAGACCGTTTGCCCATAGAATCTTGTTCTGGCAACAGGAACTTCCCCATTGTAAAAGGTGGTGGATTGATTTATCCACTTTTTATTATCAAGATCAAAGAGCATGATATATTCGAACGAAAGCTGGGAGTTTTTTTTTTTTCTTTTCAGAAAAGGAATCAGCCAATTTCAGGAGAACAGAGAACCTACGCTGGAGCCATGTTCATCATTGATACCGGGCTTGTCCTCGATTGGAACTCCGCCGGGGGCTGTCTCAGCCATGAGGGCGATCAAAAATCCAGCCGACTCAGGTTTCCCAATTTTAAGATAGTTTACTGATCCATGCTAGCAGGCCATTCCTAGCCCGCCAAATGACTCATTTGTCAGTGTGTTCGTTTTATGGTCGTAGACAAGCATCCCAGACTGTGGAATTGCTGATCCATTCATGGAGTCCCTTGATGCACGTGGAGTCCAGATTCCTCTTCACCTCAAATCAGTTGGCTTTCTGAGAAGCAGGCAAGTGACAAACCCAAAAGAGCCAAAGCAAAGGGAGACCAATTTGATCTGATCACAAATCCACATGTTGCTTCCGCAAGGAAAACTGATTTCATTTTTTGGATGGGACAGTTCGAGGACGAAAAAACAAGCAATTGGGGCGTTGCTACACGCCTCATGTCAGTGCTGTGGATCGTTGTTGGCGGTTGCCTAATTCCAAAGCCAGCCCAAATTTTCTGGTTCTTGGTGCACCTTGCCGGACTTCGCCAACACGTTGAGGGGAATGCCTGGAATGGCGTTTTAGTCGCAGATCGTTCCCAAAGGGGTTGGAGTTTCTCCCACGTAATATCAGATTTCTGGGTTGAAAAGCCGGCACGAGTGATTGCGGATGATTATTTTGCGATAACGATCTTGATGAAATTCAAGATCGCCGGACCGCCGTGAAACGAATGATTGATATCCTGTGACGCTCAACAAACGCCAAGCGCTGACTCAACACAAAAGCGGGGAGCTTGAAAACTCTTCACCTCTCGCACAAACACAATCTTTATTCTCTCTCAGTCACACTGTCACCCCCTTAACTATCGCGCGCTCAACTAACTAACTAACCGGTAGGGATAGGAGTATATATGAACGACAAGCGACACCGGCAAACCATAGTCTCCACCCCCCCCCCATACAGGTACGTCCCTCCCCATATTTGCACAAACAAGAACGAACTAACAAAGGAAAGACAAACTTGCGCTCCCGCCGTGCGCTATTCCGCAGTGCCCTTCCTCCGCACCTTTCCTACGCTCCTCCGCCGCGCGGCTTCCCGGTCTTCTTCCTGCGCTCCTCCGGTGCGCGCTTTCCCGGGCTCCTTCCTACGCTCTCCCGCGCTCTCACCGTGCGCCTTCCAGCGCTCCGCCATGCGCTCTCTCCCGTGCTTCGCCGTGCGCTCTGTCCCGCGCCCCGGCAGTGTGCTTTTCCCAAAAAAACGAACAAACAAGCAAACAATGCGAGAAGGGAAGGAAGGGGGGGAATGGGGGGTATAGAAAATGGGGAATGGAGAGAGGGGGGAAAGAGTAGGAGGGTACCGGGCAGGTGTGGGGAGCAGCTTGGACTTCCAACAGATCTGAGTGAAGGAGGGTTTACGAGTGTGACGGATATTTCCATGGAGGTTGATGATTGGATAATAAAATAAAGACATCCATGGTATCTAAAAATGGAGTTTCCGGTATCCCTCGAAGACCGAGAATTTGACATCGTGTCTCGTACCGCACTCTTCGAGCTCTATCGTGGATGCGCCTGATTTGCCTTCCCACAATGTCATGAGCATACATAGGGTGTGTCAGGTGGAACGTGTTCGGGCCATCGATGGAGCACGGCGATGGCGTAAAGTTTGCCTACCGCCTTTTGAGTAATAACAATTGACTTAAGCCCCGAACCAAGCTTTCTGTTTCTCCGCGCTGCGGATCCCTCTGGTTATCAGTTGCGTTTCTCGTTCTCCGGGAATGGGAAACCATGTATGTGATGAGCAGCCTAGAACCGTAAATGTCCAACACGGTATGTGGAACCAAGCTGGCGAGAAAAATCGTTCAAGCGCGCTCCCGCAGGAACCAACGACCAAGAAAGGAAAGAGAAGCGAAGGAAATAGAAGAGAAAATAGACTATGATTGTGAGCTGCTCGCATTCTCTTCCGTCCTGCCCCCCCTCTTCACAGTGGCTCATCGGGCATGGTTATGGACTACGATTCCACCCGAATGCCTAAGAATACACAACCAACAAACACAGCCTGACTGCAGATATCCTCCCTTCCAACTAAGAGCCCACGCGCGCGTCAAAATTTAACTCCCGGCTGCCCAGGGTAGTGCTAGTAGGAACTTTAAGCATGAGTAGGGGCTATGGAGATCCGGCGAATACAAAATGTCGATGGCATCTCAGTAGAAACCCACGCTGCTCTCGAAAACTCCCACTTCCACATAATCCCTTCTCTTCCCCTTCACTTATTTCCTCCGCTCATAACACCCCCGCCCATATCACCACCATCTCCACCTTCGTCCACATTACGTATACCCTCCTTGCCCCA